GTCAGAGCTGGGACCTTGAGGCCCACTCCTCCAACCCGCAGCCTCCCAGAGATCGAAGTTCCTGAGTTCGAGGTTGGATGGGGGAGGATTAATCCCTCTGTAACTCCTCTCCTGCCCGCCCTCAATTCTGAACTCCAACGAATACGTTTCCCTGGGTTTCCTGGTGAATAGGAGCATAGGAGCTGCCCTGTCCAATAAAGATTAAATTAGGTAGAAGAATCCCAGCCACTGGATATTGGGAAGCTCCGGTGGGGCGTCAAACCGACGTTTAACACATTTTTTCCACTCACAGTGCACAAATCCCAGACCTGTTGGGCTTAACTTTAGCAAGAAAGGAAGAAAGATAAAGATAAGGAAAGAAGGAAAGAAAGAGGAAAAAAATCCCAAAGAACGTCACAGAGAAACCCCACTTTTTAGGGAGAAGTGGCTTTAGGCTTAGAGCACGCACGATGGGCTTCTTGACCTTTCCAGCCCCCCCCCCCACCAACCACTCACTCAAAGAGATGGAGGTGCCCTCTGCACTCTAAGGGCTCAGAACTTTTCTGTTTGGGCAGCCTGATTCTGGACAGTGTGTTGGCCCCAGGGTCATGACTGAGTGTGCCTGCCAGGGGCGTGTAGAGAACCAGTTGCCTCCTCTGTGGTGACATTTTTTTTTTTTTTAAATAAAGGTTTCTGTAGCATGAATTGAGCAGTTTTCTCCAGGTACTGCCCAGCCTGAAAAACAATGGTTTTCTCTGCTGGCGTAGGAGCCACAAACACTGACCTTGAAACTGAGGCCCGGTGGGACGTCTCCACTCCAGGGAGCCATCTGGGCCCCCAAATATCGGCTGCTCACCCCTACCTGCTCACTCCCACCCTGGGCGCAGTCCAGAGGGGCAAAAGGCAAGTCCCTTTGTGGCAAAGGCTTGTCCATGCAAACACAATACTGAATAAATTAACCTCAAACCAGCTAGTTGGGGTGTAGTAGTTTAGCAGGACTAATTGCAGACAATGGAGCTGAAATGACTTTTCCAATTAGCTGCTGGTTGGAGTTTAGTTGGAGGAACTGTCAGCTCCAACGATGGGTAATTGCTTTATTGCTCACAAAACTATCATCTATTTAGAACATATGTGCTAATTACTCTGGATGGGCGTCGAAAAAGAGACCATAAATCTAATAGCACTTAAAAAAGTCTATGGTGCTTGTAAGCAACCCGGTCCCTTGCACATTCGCTGCTGCCCAGGTTGGCGTGATCGATGGCTGTCTCCCAGGAAGGCGGAGGCTTGGACTGGAGGCGCGGTCGGGATGCTCTGGTCACATCGCTTGGAGAGCCAGCCTCCAGTGCGTGCTGGGCCGAGGCGATAAATCACTGTCATCAAAACCAGTCCCCTCTTTAGCCGCGCACTTTTCATTTTCGCAAAAGATTACTTTAGAAATCTTTTAATTGGATTATGCTGGGAAATTAATCTCCTTTAGCCTTGGCTAAATTTATTGTGGCCACTGACGGGAGGGAGGCCCTGTGATGCGGTGAGGCCCACGTCACCTTGTTCCCTCTTTTTCTCGGCCCTCCAAGGCCTCCCAGCTGCGTGTGACAGTCGTGCCCCAAGTCCTTATGAGTGACTGGAGTGAGAAAGCGTAGAAGGACATATCTGGGCAAGACTGCGGAGGTCCCTAGAGAGTCCTCTTTGTCCTAAACGCCACGTTTCTGTCCCGGATGCCCTCGTTCCACATCCAACATCCCCACCGCATCGCGCCTTTATCCGCAGAGGCTCTGGGGGCCTGCTACCCGGAAGGCGGCTGGCGTGGCGAGAAGGCGTGGGATGTGTCGAGGAAGGGCTGCTAGCCAAACTCACTAGTTTGCCCTCTTCCCTTTCTGGGTCTTCGGCTGGAAGCTGGGTTCTCAGAACACCCTCCACTCATGTCCTTTGCGCATAAACGCACACAGCTTGCTCCGGCGGTCTCTCTGGCACAGCTCCGGAGACACGTCCCCTGGACGTGCGCAGCGCTCGAGGTCGAAGGTCCAGCGCCCTCCCCACTCCTCCCGGCTCCTCTAGCGCCAGCGCGTCGTCGCGCGGCGACCTCCCTTCCAGCCTCGCCGCCCTGCGCGGTCTGCCTGGTCCAGCGCGACTCCGGCAGTCGCGGGAAGCTGCGGATCTGGCCCTGCCGGCCGCGCCCCTCAGCAGGAGATAACAGCATCTGCCTGAAATGGGATACCTACTTTTGCAGCTCAATTTAGCTCTTAATAGCAGCCCTCCGAGGTGTGGTTAATTGATGGGGATAAAGGAGTAATGACTTGACGGGGAGACGCCAAAGATACTTTAATATACTTTTAAAAGAACAACCACCACTTCAAGGACGGGCGAGTCCTTGCTCGGTGGGGGGGTGGGGGTGGGGGGAAGACCGGTATCTGGAGGCTGGAAGAGCAGCGCGGGTGACGTGTGTACCTGGAAGGGTCACTGCGGGGTGTGCCCTGGCTCTCCTGGCCGGGGAACCCGGGGGCAGCCCAGGAGGACAGCTCGGTCCGGCAGGTCGCTGTAGGGAGCGGGGGAGGAACGGGGAGCCAAGCGAGCTCAGGCTGACAGGTGACCCGGCCGCCAGGCTGGGAGGAGCCCGGAGCCCGGAGCCCGGGAGGAAGCCGTCACTCCCTGGGCTCTGCCACTCCATCAGCCCTGCCCGTGCGCGGAGCTGGATGCCTACGAGCCAGGCGCCTCTGCCCGCCCGCCCTCCCCGGCTGGAACGACCCCCTCATCCAGCGTGAGCGAATTGGTCAAGTGGCCGCGCTCGGCGGGAACTCGGGGATCCCGCAGCCTGGACAACCTCGGGCCCCAGCACCAGGACAGAAAGGCCCGCTCCTGTGTGTGTGAGTGTGCGCGCGCGCACGCCGCCCCGAAACGCACAGCCGGAGCACAGCAGCCCTGAGCACGTGGCCGGCCAGCATCCCGGGGCCCGGAGCGCAGGGATTGACCTGCGCAGGAGCTGGGTCGCGCCACGGGGTCGAAGAAGCCCCTGCGCACTAGCCAGCCCAGACCTCTGCTTACCGCTTTCCCAGCACCTTCCTTTATACCTTGCCCGGCTTCCCTCTACTCTATTCTAGTTGTGTCTTTAGAGGGTTAAAGGAGTGTTTCACTCGGCGCAAGCACCGAACTTAGGTTCACACAAGCCTTGAAATGAAAGACCCGGATTGCCTTTCCAGTTTGCAAAGGGCAACCCCCTCTGGGTGTGGGCGGTGGTGTCCCTCGCAGCTTTTGCAAGTGGAGAAGGCTAACCTTCCCGCTTCAGGTTTGAGCTCCCTCTGGAAGAGGAAGGAGAAATGACTCCAGTCACCGCCTCTATTTTAGTGCATTGAGAGATCGCAGGTGTTTAGGCTGCAGCTGTTGTCTGCCTTCCTCCCCGAGTACACATACCAGGCATGAAAGGGTTCCAGAAACTTAGTTTCCCCAAACCCTCTTGCGGAGGAGGGCGGGGAAGCTTTGGCATCGAGGGGTTGAAGAAATGCAACCGAGTCTCAACTCGCAGCGTGCGCCACTCTCGGGGTGGTTCTGCCCCCTGTGGGTGTGTAGGAAATCAAGATTCACTGTCGCTTAGCCGTCGAGCCCCTCTGCAGCCCTAGCGGGGAGGATCGCGAGTGGGGCGCCAAGGCCGTGACCCGGTCCTCGGGCGCCTGGGAGTCGGACGAGGCCCTGGGTCCAGATCCCCAGCCCCTGGTCAGCGACTCCCGCTCAGAAGCTCCCGGCCCGGGAATCCGTGACGTGGTGGCAGGTCCCTGCTGTTGAGGGTCCCCGAGGCTTTCCGAAAGGCC